TTGTGTAAAATAATTTGTCCTTTGTGGTTAATAATGGCCTTTGATAAAAGGACAAAAAGTCTTTTAGGGGCAAATCCATACTGTTTACATAGCAATAATATGGAAATTGCAACTTCATTCTGGAATGTCTTTCTAACGCGGAGGTCCTCAAACTTGGCAACTTGAAGACTTGTGGACTTCAACTCCCAGAATTCTCCAGCCAGAGAATTCTGTGAGTTGAAGTCCACAAGTCTTACAGTTGCCAAGTTTGGGGACCTCTGGTCCAACCAGCCTACAGCCCAAGGATGTTTACAGGGTATAATAATAATAATAAAAAATCAAGATTGTGACCATGATGGTGTGACTGAAGCTCCACCTTTTTTTTTTTTTACTGATGGTCTCTCATTCATGGAGTAAACTGGCCTGATCATGCTTAGCTTATCAAGATCAGGAATAGATAACTGCTTTCCTTTTTTTGGCCCTTACTGAACAGCAATAATTTCTTGCTTGCTTGTTTGTTTACGGTATTTGGGCTCCATTAGGATGGAAACCAGGCAAATCTCTGGTTGCCCATGGCCAGGCCTACTTCTCAGGAATAACGGAATAACAGAGTTGGAAGGTACTTTGGAGGTCATCTAGCCCAACCCTCTGCTCAAGCAGGACAATCTCTTTCAATCTCCTGGTAGAATTTAATTGCCTCCGTGCTGCAATTTAATTCGTAATGACAATCTGTCTAGTGTTGATGGCCCACGGCTATTGACAAACCCCATCTGAAGTGGTTAACTGGAAAAAGCTGACTCACCTTCTCTCCAGGTGGGCCCTTGACTCCCTGGGCCACCATTATATCAGTCGCAGCCACATGCAACAGGGTGAAGGGGGAGAGAAAGAGAGACACAAAACACAGGAGTCAGTGTTAAGGCACACTAAGCACAAATACACACTCATGCCAAAAGGAAAAATGGAAAAGAAAAGACAAACACTGAAACATGCATGGTTTAATGTTCACATACAAGCATGGTGAAGTGACCCCGCCTTTGACTTTCTTGTATTTAAATCACTTTCAAAAATTCTTTGTTGAACATTCGCTTTCACAGGTTTTATTAACCAGTAATATAGGGGAAAAGAAATCTAGTTTCTGAAATGTATTTTTTACATTAGAAGTGAGAAGTAACATGATTGGAATTATATGTGTGTGCATCTGTTCTCTAAACGTTAATATGTTCTCTGTTCACAACAGTGTGAGGTCACAACTGGCAGTTCTTTAGCTGGTATTGGTATTGGTATAGGAGCCTCGGTGGTGCAGTGGTTAGAGTGCAGTACTGCAAGCTACTTCTGTAGCCAGCTGCCTATAATTTGGCAGTTCAAATCCCACCAGGCTCAAGGTTGACTCAGCCTTCCGAGGTGGGTAAAATGAGGGTCCAAATTGTTGGAGGCAATATGCTGACTCTGTAAACCACTTACAGAAGGGTGTAAAGCTATAAAGCAGTATATAAGCCTAAGTACTATTGCTATTGGCCTTCATACGCATCAACTTATTCCCAGGAACAAGAAGCTAGCATGTCATGATATATCAGTATTGTATATGTGTGTATCTAAGCAGCATGAGTTTTTGCAATTGACATAGAAATGTTATTAATATTATTCTGTAAAAAAATTGAAATTGCAATGTGTGTCAGCATTCCAGAAAACCTCAACGCCAAAAAATAACCCCAAGATAGACATCTTCTCAAAAGTTCCTTTTATTAGAATAGAAAACTGGCACATCTGGGAAATCCCAAATCTGAAAGTTCCAGGTTTCCCTTCAATAAGTAAAAATATTACAAATCCACCCCCTGCACCCCTCATTGCCTCACATGCTCCAATCGTCATCCATCCCAACTTAAGATGTCCCCTCAACCACTCCTCAGCCAGGTGCAGAAATAACATGACCTTGACTTAGAAGAAGAATGCTATTATGTCTAACCACATGCGCTCTAAGAAATTCCCCCCTCCCATTTTTCCCAGACTCAAGAATGGGGCAGATTGGAAGCATCTGGTGTTAATGTGGCTTCCAAAGCTGACAATGTGATTGTACAACAAAAGAGAAATTGTGGAAGAAAAGCATGTTTAATGCTTAGGAATGCTTCTAAGGGATCATCTGTCCACGTAATCGTTGGACTGTAGATTAAAGTGACAGAATCCAGTGACTGTTTTATATGTCATGGTGTGCTATGTGTCCACATAATATTATGAAGATGAAAGGATATAATACAACTGTTAGGAATAAACTAGGATGGCAAAACATATGGAGATGTTAGCAAGAGATTTAGAGAGTTAGTTAGATTTGTCTAAATCTCATTTTATAAGCCACTAACGTAAAAACTGGTAGAAAACTAACAAGTATCTTTGGCAGTGGTGGGATTCACTTTTTTTTTTTTTACTACTGGTTCTGTGGGTGTGGCTTGGTGGGTGTGGCAGGGGAAGGATATTGTAAAATCTCCAGTCAGAGGTGGTATTTGCTGGTTCTCTGAACTACTCAAAATTTTCGCTACCGGTTCTCTAGAACTGGTTAGAACCTGCTGAATACCACCTCTGTCTCTGGCCCATTAACAAGTTGCTATTTTAAAGATGGTATTGCTTAATTAGGATGTTTCCAATTCTTATTGGCCAAGACATTCTTTTGAGGAATGAAAAATAACATCATTATTAAATTCCCCCTTAAGATGGGGCATTTTAGTGTCTAAAACAGGACAACACTGGATGAAAGGACTATAATTATAGAACTACCAAGGAAAATGGCGACTTGGCATCCACTAATGGTGTTAGTGGGACACCAGCCATTTCTGTTAGGTATTTATGTATACCTAACAGAAATGGCTGGTGTCCCACTAACACCATTGTGGGTCATATATATGTGGGACATGTATACATATTAATCTCAAAGTAAATTGATGGTGAACAGGGAAGGCTCCTGCAAAACTCGTGAAAAACTCAAGGCGTCCAAATTGGGCTGGAATTGAATTTCTCAAGGAGAGAACTACCAAAAGATTCCTGCACATATTGCTCTATAATCTTAGAGCTTCCCCTCAGCCATATCTACCATGTTTTAATGTTCTCAGTAGGTTTAGAATAACTTTTCAGGAAAGTTCCTATTAGAAACAAAATATCATGTTATCTGAGATGGTTGTATGTTTTGGGGTATCTTAATACAGATCCTACATATCTAAAAACCCTTTTTCCGTATTCTTAGAAATCACTCTCCTCAGAAGGGCCAGCTTTATATGAAACAGAATATTTAATTGCCCCAATAAAAAGGGGATATATATGTGTGTGTGTGTGTTTGTGTGTGTGTTTGTGTTTCTCTCTCCCTCTCTCTAACAGAATAACAGAGTTGGAAGGGACCATGGAGGTCTTCTAGCCCAACTCAAGCAGGAAATCCTATACCATTTCAGACAAATGATTGTCCAATCTCTCCTTAAAAACTTCCAATATTTTGGACTTCATGATCTGTCTAGGAATCATTGTATTTCTGAGTAACAGAAAGTTTTCAGTTGCAATAGTACATATGTTTGTCATTAAGGGGAAATAAATATGAAAACAAATTAAGTTACCATTGTGTGCACATTTGAAGTCTTGGAGAAAGCTTATTGAATTAACTAGGGATTATTTTAGCGTAGACATAGAACCAGTAACTGAAATTTTCTCTGTCACGTGTCTATGGATCAGTTTAGTAGCAGCAGATTCGGAAGCAATGATGACAGATAAATTTAAGTGACTTATGACTTACCGGCTGCCCACGGATTCCCATGGTTCCTTTGTCTCCCTAACAATTAACACAAAAAATCAGAGGATAATTGGCAATTGACCACATGTAATGATTAAAAAAATTTATTCAAACTTATTCAAATGTGAACATTTAGACAATTACATTGATTACTTTGGATTTTATGATGCATAGGCGTATGCGTTTGGAAGACCACTGAACTATTTATCAACTGCCATGGTCCAACACAGTAAAGCCATTTGTATAACAATGTAAGCATCAGAGATCTGTATTTTTTTCAGTTTTTCTCTTCTAATTTATTTACTATTTATTTTAATTTGGACCATTATTGCATACATTATAAGCATGTTTAATAATATTATTATTATTATCCAATAATAGTATTAAATGTCTTTTCAATCATCTCATATTATTGGCATTCACTGGCTGTAACACTGCAACATGCTTATTTACCAAACATCTGGATAAAACCCTGTCCCACATTGTCTGCATATATTCATAAGTCAGAGGGTTACAGACTTGTTCTTAGTCTTTCTAGTAAATCTAAATATTTAGAGATTGGACTGGAATATTGTTATGTGGATCAGATATTTATATAACAAACCACATGGGGTTTGTTTAGGAAACCCTGCCAACATTCAATCAAGCAAATTTTTGTAACCATAAGACTTTTTTAACCATAAGACTTACAAGTATACCAGGGGAAAGAAGGAAGGAAGGAAGGAAGGAAGGAAGGAAGGAAGGAAGGAAGGAA